AGGATGACAACAAATGAATGTAAAAAAGATAATCACTGAAATATTTACAAAGATTTACGTACATAACTGATGACGTCTTTGTTGTGTCACTTTTTTTTTTACCTTGGTTCCTTTTTCATAGCTCGGAGGTGAGGCCATGAGGATCGGGCTAAGGTCTGCAGGTGCTGTATCATTACTGGGTCCTTCAGGGCAAAAGGTCTTGTTCGGGACCTGGATCTGAGCCTGTAAGTCATTCAGGAGTTCCTCCACTTTGTCTTTAGGGATGGGCTTTCCATGCCAGTTGTCCAGATCCTCAATACCTGTAGCCAAGAAGGAAGAAGATTGGGATGTTCAAACAACAAACCAGAATAATCAGTTATAGTTAGTATTAGTTATGGTTTGTACATATCTGTTGTAGGGGTTTTACAGACTAGAGACTAGTACCACTCAGCAATTGACATCTTTAGGTCGACTAGTTGGAGGTTTTGACACCAACAACATGAACACTGCATCCCAAAAAAAAAAAAAAAAAAAAAAAAAAAAAAAAAAAAGTGGAGGGGATGACAGAGCTTACCGTAATTTCTGGACTATAAGCCTCTACTTTTTCCCCCCACATGCTTTGCATCCTGTGACTTAAACAATGCTAATTTATGAATTTTATTTTTATTTTTTACTTTTACTAAATGTAACTGTGACTTAAACAATGCTAATTTATGATTTTTTTTTTAAATTTTTAAATGTAATGGGTGCAGCTTATATTCAGGTGCGCTCAATAGTACGGAAATTACGGTAAATTCCCTGCTCAACTGTTTCTCCCTCACTATCAAACAAGCAGAGGATTATTTCCCGCACCATAAATTCCCCAGAACAAAAACCTGTTTCCCCACTTTCCCTATGGACACGTAGTAACATCACCTGGTTGTATCACAGGGTGGGCACTTTCCATTAATGTGCTTTTGCTGTTTCGGTTTTATCCTGTAGTTTAATTTAATGACTTGACAGCTCCCGACACAACTAACTTTTGGTTTGGTGTGGACCCGTCTCCCCTCACCTCACTTCACCTCTAATCTCACAGCTGTCCTTGGAGGAACAAGACCTCATACTCATGTACAAATTTCCTCTTTGGCAAGCCGAACATTCGGTGTAACTCTTTTGAAAACAGACTTGTTTTCTTCCTAAAATTACGACATTCCTAATGAGCAATACCTTAGTCGAAACTAAACTTTTCAAATGCATCTGCGCTAGTATATGTGCAGCAAATATTGAGAATTTATTAATTTACTCTCTGCTGAAAAATGCCCTTTCCTCTACAATGACCCCCGACTTACCTTTAAGACCTTTGCCCTTAAATGTCTTGGCAACAATGCAAGTTGGTTTCCCCTTGACCTGCTGAGCCTGCCAGAGAGCCTTGCACAGCTCTTCCACGTCGTGTCCATCCACAACATACGTGTTCCACCTGTGACATAACATTCCATTTAACACATGTTAATTGCCTGGAATTACAATGCTGTGCCCTTACAAATACTGTCCTACTGCCTACAAAGTATTGCGCAAGAAGACGGCAAGGTCGAAGATTTTTTTTAGATTTACCAAAGTGTAATAAATAACTTGTTGTGACTTCAGTGACACTGACCCAAAAGCTTCGCAGCGTTTGCGGTAGACCTCCATGTCATGCTTCAGGGGTGCAGCCTCACTCTGACCAAGACGGTTGACGTCCAAGATGGCCACAAGATTGTCCAGGTTGTAGTGAGAAGCAAAGGCCATAGCCTCCCACACGGAGCCTTCTGAACACTCGCCATCACCCAGCATGCAGTACACGCGGTAGCTAAGAAATCATGAAAAACAGGAGTGGGGGAAGAAAAAAAAAGTAAATAAATCTTCTCTGAATGATATTTTTATCTGATGAAGACAGTGATTTGGCATTGGTGATTATCTGGAGTCATCATGATTAATTGCAAATTTTTCTATGGTTTCTCAAATCCTAAAGTATAATATCAGGAATAAGCAAAAATTTCGATTGAGTTTATCAATACATTTTTGAGAAGGAAAAAAAAAACAAAACAAAAACATACCTGGATTTGTCGAAGTTTTTGCCAGTGTACGCCATTCCGCAGGCCGCCCCAAGACCCTGTCCTAGAGAGCCTGTAGCCACGTCGACAAATTCTAGTTTCTGGTGGTAGGGGAAAAGGGTGCATAAGATAAAGTGAATTCATATGATTTTTATTTACAAAAAAAAAAAATTTTTAAGAAAATAAATAAATATAGACTCACTGGGGTAGGGTGTCCCTCTAGATCGCAGTCAATCTTGCGGAGATTAAGGAGATCGGATTCCTTTACATAACCTACTTCAGCCCAGGCAGCGTACAGAACAGGTGCAGCATGGCCCTGCAAACAAAAGGTTAAGACCAGACAATTGAATTTTGTTCATTAGAGTTTCTGTTTGGGTGACTGTCAACATCTCCTTACACCTCTGACTGTTTGGGTGACTGTCAACATCTCCTTACTCCTTTGCCCGTTTGAAAACCATTCTAAGAGAAGGTATGCTTTTGCATTATTACGATATCTCAGCAGGAGGGGAACTGCTTTAGTGACAGCGCCACATGTTTCCGAAGGCTCGTAATCACAAGTTGTCCAATTTTCCCCAAGTAGCCCCATCATAGTGTTCCAAGCATGCATTAGCTAACTAACTTTGGAATCTGCCAACCCGTAAAGCTGCCTCTTGGCAAGCTTGTGTGGAATTTCTAATATTAACCTGAAATAACTATCACTATCGATAAGTCTGTTCTTCGCCAATGCTAAACTAGACTAAGGTAACACTGCTAATGCCATCATTCTAGCTTCTTCTCTGAATGCAGTCCTTCATCAGAACGGTAATAACTGCAGACGAAATTACAAACAGGGTGTAAACCCTAATGACATACATAGGACGAAATACTTATCTGAAATGACTCATTTTATAAAACTTAGTGCAATAGGTTTGCTGACCTTTGAGAGAACGAAGCGGTCATTGCACTGGTTGCGTGGATCACCGGTTTTATAGCGCATGGTGTGAAAGAAGAGCACAGACATGAGCTCGGCTGCACTGCAACATGATGTTGGATGACTGCGAATGGAGTATAAAAGAAAGATAGTCAATTCCTGCTTGAACATTAAGACGAATAAGATGGATCACAAAATCCCACACAGTGCATGCGTAGGTTTCTACAACCAAAAATACACATCCAAAACCATTGGGTGGATACAAACAAAATAAAAATAAAATAAAAATTAGTCCACTTTTCTTGAATAACTGGATTGAGAAAATATTGATTAGTTCAGGGGTTTTCAGCCAACTTTGATCAAGGAAGTAGATGATATGAAGCAACTGCTGCTCAGTAGAACAGTGTGTTGACATTCAGTTTTTTTTTTTTTTGTCTTCCTGGTTAGTCCGAGTCATTGTGTCATTCATTGTAAATGACTGAAGTCTGGATATATTTGGGAATTCAGCAGTAGAACGAGTGTTGTGTGCATCTCTGGCTTCAGCCTCGACCTTTCTTCATTCTTACTCTATAGATAGAAAGTTGCACTATAAGGATATATAAAGTTCCACTAGCCCAATCACAATCCACTGGTTGAAAACCCCTGAATTGAGACATCACACATGTTGCACAGGTTATTTCCACACTCATGTTGTTGTAAAAAAAACCTCAAGGGCCTAAGTGGAAAAACATGTTAGCCAATTCTAAAAGCCATGTCAGTGTTCACTTCAATGTGTTTTTAATCACTTTATCTTGACACAAAATGTCAGCCATGCTGGGAACATACAATGTTTTAATTAAACAATGTTCTCAATGCATTGGTTACCCCTTGTTCTTTGATTGTGGAACTTGCTTGTCAAATCGTAGATGAAACGAAAACAACCAGTTAATGCAACGATCAAATCTTGCGAAGGTGAAAATATTTGTCAGAGAAAATAATCATTTTCTTGATGTCAACATTAATACAAACAGAATACAGACAGGTGAAGCGGGGCAAAAACCAATTATATATATATATATATATATATATATAGAGAGAGAGAGAGAGAGAGAGAGAGAGAGAGAGAGAAAGAGAGAGAAAGAGAAAGAGATGTCTGTCTGTCTATCTACTGTATCTATTCATCTATCTATCTATGTATCTATAGTTAACATGATGTAATGCATTAGAATAATTTTTTTGTATCAATTTACTTGGTGTGAAACCTGGGTCAAATTGACAAAATACGACGCCTTTTATGCTAGCAGGAATTTAAGAAAGACTAACCCGATTATCTTTTTCGACAGTTGTGTAACTTTTATCTGTTGCCACCTAATCAAAGTGTATTGATTTGTTCACCCACCACTGTCTCGCAGACAAAGAGACTAATGACTTGCAGTTTTTTTTTTTCTAACTACATATACGCCGTTTCATGTCGACAGCTGTAGAACAGCGATTTACGTCTTATATACAGTATAAAAAAAAACGGCCTAACCTCAGGATTCAATTTTTTACAAATGCAGCCTAACGTAAAACTGTATATTTGAAACGTATCCTTGCTGCCAAATTGCTGCACCCAACAGAGTAACAACGTACCGCGTTTAGAGTCATTGCATTGATATAATTTCTGGTGATAAACTTGGGTTAATAAATACAGATAAATTAACCATGGTGGTTCAACATGTTGTCAATGATACGGTCAGTTAAAGACGTCTACACGTTGAATAAAGTTTGTACGGAAAGGAAAAGAGGTTTTACAATTACGATGTAAAATACTACAAATTACTTATTCCATAACGTTATTTCACCACCATAAAAGAAATATTTACATTTACAGAGTATTATATATACGTTAGTGTATTGTTGTACTAAAGCATTAGTCAAATTTCCTCTAAGTTGATCAGGTCAGGTGGTTCACGTTAAGTTCGATGTGCTACGTGCTACCGATTATATTGCAGCACGTGTGCCCAGGCCGCATACGGACGACACAAGTCAGGCACCATAGTTTTGCAACTTAAAAAACGTAACAGAGTCACACCCATAGTACGAAAGTAAATTAAACATTTCCGAAATATAGGTTTTGTCTTTTCTTGTCCTCAATAACTACTAGTTTTGTATTCAAACTGACCCGGAGTTGGATGCGCATGTCGCCTTGATGGACTTGATCCTGAGCTTGTTCGCGATATCTCTGAGACCCTGCAGGGTTTTCTCGTCAGGTTTGTGGTAGCTTGACATTGCTGTGTTATTATTTTTAAAACGCTGAGAAGTTGAAATGAACAAGCCTCTGAGACAGACAGCTTCCCGGTGGTCGGAGTTCGTCAGTGGGAGGAAAGGGAACTTGTGAGTTAATCATTTATGCGTTAAATATCATCCAGTGATTGGTGGACTACTCATGACGTAGTGGTCCGTTGCACGTTGTCCACGCACGTAGGTGCCCTCATTGACTGCCTGCAAGCGCGTCAACGTCGTCGCCATATTGGAATGGTTCAGAGAAGCTTAAAGAAGCGGACTTTGGTCTTAATGCTTAGATTTTTCCCGAGTCTAACTGCCTCACGATTTATCTGACAAAACAGAGCTATAGAGGCTGACTTGGCTCAAGTCGTAGAAGTAGCTTTTATTTGGAACAACAATAACAACAGTTTATTTTTGTTTTTTTTTTACCGTAATTTAAGTAGTTTTAAAACATAACCACTCAACATTTACTTTTAAACAGTTACACACATACATAATAAGAACATGAAGGAAATGTTTTATGATTTCATACAGACAGGCTAAAATTACAATGTTGACCTTTTCAGACACTACTGATGTTTTATGAGCTTGCAGTAAAATACTGAGAAAGGGGGGTTATTTAAGGCAATTGGAAACCCCTGGCTCACATGCCACAGTGACGTTTAAATACTGATGTTTTATGAGCTTGCAGTAAAGCAATGGAGAAAAGGGGGTTTATTTAAGGCAACTGGCAACCCCTGGCTCACATGCCACAATGACGTTTAAAATTTGATTTAAGACAGTTTCACTGTCCGATTGTTTTCTCTTTTTTTAGTAAGACCTGCTGTCTTTCATCGAACACCTCAATCCTAAATTTAGCAATAATAACATTCATTTTATCACAACAAAGATACATAGATAGATAGACAGCAATTTATTTATCCCTCGGGAGTTCCCTTTGTGAAATTTAGGCTCCAGCAGCAGTACAGTACTAAAACAACAGTAAAAAGACACAAATAGGTAACATACAACAAAATAAAAACACAGGTAGCAGCACACTGTCAATGAAAATGGGAAACTGAACAGTAGAAGTAGATAGATAGTGTTAGTAGTATTAGTAGATCAGTAGGTAATAAATAGATAAAACTTTATTCATCCCTTGCAAGTTCCCTTAACTTAAGCAGCAGTTCAGGACTATAAGCACACAAGAATAAAACAAGAACAAGACAAATAGATAACTTTGGAGTATTCAATGAATCCCTTTTAAAACAGGATTCGATTGATTGATGTGGGAATCAACCACATGGTTGTTTTTGGTTATTTTTCTACATTCCCATTTTTTTTTGAGTAATAATGACGACTGCACTTGCAAAACTCTTCGCCTGTACCACCATGTATCATGTTGTCATTTGGGTTAATCAACTCACAAAGTTAATGTTTAATATCTTTTAAAGTTTTAATGAGAAAGACAGTAATAAGGTCTGAAGTTTGAAGCCTTTAATATGATGTCAAATATGCCCTACATATATCCGTGTCTTTAATAAACATGATTGTAATTTTCACAACAATATGAGGTATTAAAATAAGATGAATAACAATCGGACTGTTGACCATGAACCTAGAGAAGAGGAATCATCTGCTGCTACTCTCCTGGACAGTGTCCAGGTTAATATCCAGCTACAGTAGAATAACACACTGGGTTCATTTGCATTATCATTTTCTTTAGCTGCCAAGCATCAGAATCTGATGGACTTGTATATCTTTGTAGAAATGGTCAGTGATATGACTTCATGATCTCTAGACCTGCAACCAGCTTGCTATCTGCAATTAGGGATGTCTGATATTATCGGTCTGTATCTGTAGGAATAATTTAGTTTTTTTCCTCTGATAATGAAACCCCAATAACACAATGTGGGTTTTGCCAAATCAGGTGTGCCCTAAAAATAATTTTGGGGATAAATGGCTGTACGTGAAAGTCACTAGATGGCAGCATCGTAGCTTATTTAATTAATCTACTTTAATAATCAGAGGATTGTGTGCAGAATGCTGGTCCCAGCAACTCATGCAGTGGTTTGTATAGATAAATAAATTCATATTACCAGACCTTTATCGGTATTGGTCAATATCATGTCAAATTTGATCGGAAGTGTTTGGACATATCGGATATCGGCAAAAAGGTAATATCAATTGAACTATATTGATCCCATATTTGGGAAATTCTTGTGTTAACAGCAGATATGCATGAGGTTCCTCTGGGAATCAAACCCAAGACTCTGCTCTCTACCTCCGAGGCAGGTGTGCTATTCGCTACACTATTGAACCGAATCAGACATCCCTATCTCCAATCTCTTCCGACCATCTACTCTCTTCTGGTAGTAGCACAGTATTTTTATGTTTGGTCTTAGTCTGCCTACTGCTGAAGAGTCCTCTCATAGTTCTCCAGGCAGATGTGGACTCTCTCTGTGAAATAGTGTGGGTCAGATATTGCTTTCAGAAGGTCTGTCTGGACCAGTGTGAGGTCATACAGCTCAGATGTGCTGGCCAGACGGATCTGATCTCCATCCGGATCCAAAAAGACCTGAGAAAAACAAGAAAGTGAAACATTGGGGGTTCGCATGAAAGTAACCAAGTTAGCCACAGATTTTTAACTTAATACAAACAGATAATCAGGATTTTAAAAAGTAACAATGTTACAATGCTTGGAGTGCTACAAGCGACTTTGCTGTACCCTGGGCTGAACAATGGTGTCCTCGTCCTTCTGTCGTATATTGTCATCAATAAAAATGTGCTGAACCGTCTTGTCAAAGGGATTGATCCACATGGGCTTTCCGCCACAGGTGGAGAACTTATTCTGAGCCCACCTGGAAAAGACGTACTGGTAAAGACTAGGTCTAGGTACAAGACAGGCAAAAGAAAATACTTAAAATGAACTTAATTTGTTGTGTGGTACATACCAGTCAAAGTGATCCTGAAAGCCTGCCAGACCTTGAACTGAGCTGAGGTAGTTATACAATCCACGTTCTCCGTCTACAGTTGTAGAAACTTGGTGTTGACCTTGACTCAGGACCATTTTCTTTTTGCCGCAGCGGATTTTTCCTGGGTTCATGTTGACAGTCAACTGAAATAAGAAAAAAAAAACTCAGTGAAACAGATCACACTTTGAGTCTCACAACTGTGGACTCCCTGGTTACCTTCAGATCAATCAGATCGGGGAACAGTGGATGAGCTCCTTCATTTAAAGCTCTGTTCATAACTCTCAGCACCCTCTGCAAGTCGGTTCCAAATGTACGGAACACAATAGAAAAGTCCCTATTTTCCTGTCGCAGGTCTTTGAGGAGCTGGAAGAAGGAAGGAACAATCCAGTGATACAGTCGTCCATCCTCTCCTCTGGAGGACAGCTCTCGGTCTGCCTGAAGAACAGATGGTCAAACATTGAGCAAAAACTACTTTGTTACGGAGAACACAAAATCAGACCATACATTCTTGACATTAACAAGCGTTAACATATTGATGTCACCCAGACGCCTCATCATTAAAACTGTAGTCACTGCAGGGCAGCGTTAACATATTGATGTCACCCAGACATTAAAATTGTAGTCACTGCAGGGTCAAGATCCATATTTCAGACCAGAGGTTTAATTTTAATCATAGAGATACTATGTTTTACCTTCACACCCTCGGGCCACAGCAGCAGGTCCAGATGTTCATCCAGGTATTTTCGAAAACGTCTTCCCGGCCCAGAGGTGAAAGCAGGAGTTCGTCCAAACTGAGAGTAGTAACTCACAGCCTCTCCTGAGGGTGGGAGCAGGGAGGGAGAGTCACTCAGCCATTCCCATTTTCCTAAGGACAAAGGAAAACAACAGATCTGTAAACATCATATTAGTTCATATGTTTTCTGAAGCATTTTTATGGTCATTTTTCTGCCCTTTATTTAGATCAGGGTGTCAAACTCAAATTCACAGTGGGCCAAAAGTAAAAACTGGGATGAAGTCACAGGCCAAATTAATTTTTTTTTATGAAAAATTGATGGCAATTGTGCATGTTTTCCCTTCTCTCCAGATATGTTGTTACATTTTTTTCATATGGAAACAAACTTTAGGTTAGCGTAAACATTAGATCCTGAACAACCAAAGCTTAATATTATAAACATATGAAATTAAATTTGAAATAAGTCAAATTTATTTCATATATATATTTATATCAATGGCATTTGTTTCTTATATGTCTCTCTCTATCTCTAGCCCTTTGAGTTCCTTTTTTATGTAAATCTTTTTTCACAGGCCAACAAAAAGAACAACCAAACATGTATGTGCTATAATGTTGTGCATACATCGCTGATACTACAAATCCCACCAATATATAATGGCTATATAATGGCTGGCCAGCTTTAATACACATTTTAATATGATCTTGCAGCCCTATTAAAATTATACCAGGGGCCAGATTTGGCCCGCGGGCCTGAGTTTGACACCTGTGATTTAGATAAAATGTGTAACGTGAACTATAACCATTGATATTATCCAAAACAATACTTCATGGCATTATTCAACAAATGCTGCATCCCAGAAAACTAGGATTACCTCAAAGAAAATTCTTAAATGTTTCACAGTTACAGGACTGGACTTGTATTAAATTCGGGTTAAATGTAGCATTATAATATATAACAATAGAAAATGTATGAAAATGTTATATAAAACAAACACCTGAATATTAATATATGTCTAAAAATATAATATGTATTCACCTGCCTACAGTTATGTCGGGTGAATCGTACTGACTCGTAAATTCCTTGTATTAACTTAAAGTTTAAGATAATGTATACAGGAAATACAACCATAATCTCTGACTATATTGAACACATCGTCAAAAAAAAGGTTCTGCCTTCATAGGACTAGACTTGGTGTTACAGAGACATCAGTGAGTAAACATATAAACACACATTAGTTTTTACCGTGTTTGTTTATCTTTCCCCAGGTGACGGTTGTAAGGAAATAATCCAGAGCAGCTATTGTTCCTTGACAAGTCACTGCGTCAGAGACCAGAATTGTACTGTTCAGGTCCACATGAAGGACGGTTCTTTTATTCAGTTCCTGGTTTGGGGTCGTAAATCCAGGCTGACAACCGGTGGAAACTGTCACTGAGGCAGTTTGTAATCTTCCTAAATCCGAAGCCGGTAATGTACTGCTGTTTACACCTTCGTCGTGTTTACTAATGAGACTGTTACTGCCGCCAAAGTCCGCCATGCTACAGGAAAAGAATTAGAGAGAAAACTGTACCAAGATCATCATTTGATGTCAGATTTAAAGTTAAGGTTCTTTGACTTCGAATGGGAAACGCGGTTTAATCTGCGCATGTGCGGCTTTGTATCTACTTCCTGTTTTGCTTCCCTTGTACCTTTACGTCCCAAGGGTCAGCACACAAAATAAACTGTTTAAAAACTGGAAATAAGTAGAATAATTCAATTTTAAGATTGTACATTTATTTAGAGTTTGTCTGATTAATTGAAAATAAGACTTGTAGTCATATTCTATATAAGTAATATAGAATTTACACAAAGATACACAGTGCAGTAGAAACATGTAAACATGTACAGACACACCCCTCTACTTTACCAGTACCCTGTACCCAGGTATATCACATAATATGCCTAGCCATAACTGTAAAAAAATATGATGCCATATTAATCAATATAAAAAAATAAATTCGCTTTTACTGAGACAAACACATTCCTGCCAAAAAGTTTCAATATATTTTAAAAATTGATCACATGGCCAGGAAGTGGTGTTTTGTAACTGGATGCTTATATATATATATACACACACATATATGTACACAAGTAACACAAGTAATGTACACTAAATGTGTAATTGTGAGCACAAAGACAAGTGGCTGCTACATTTGCATGCATTTCTGAGAGATTAAGGCAGGGATACAAAGTCCCAAACTTCCAATGTGATCTTTAAACACCCAAGAACACATAATATCAACATTACCACCACTTTATCACCAGTTTTATCAATTGGGCAATTAAGGTCACAGTTAGTGTCATAGATTTCAATGCATTGGGATAAAATATGTTAACAATCTTAAAAGTACTGGAATCTTTAAATAATAATAGTCAACAAGAAATCTGTACCTATTTTGTGACCTAAAATTCCATAGTTTGGTTTCAGCGCCAGTCTGTCGGAATGACTGGACTAGACTGGCCCGCGCACACGCCCCTAATGCGGTGTTTTCCGGGATCACGCCATCGCGGCTTTCCCTTGGAATCTCTGAGCAGGAGCAGCAGCGGCCGCATTCACAGACATGGCTGATCAGCAACAACAAACAGGACGGTGCAGCCGCAGTAGTGCCAGTAGCAGTAACAGCAACAACAGCCCCTGATGCGGATGAACTAACAGAAAAAAGCCAAAGAAAACGCACCTTGGAATTTACCAACTAAACATGGAACTACAGTGGCGCGAAGAAGACGCGATACAGCGCCAGGAACGCGTTTAGAGGGAGAAAACAGACATTTGTTAAATGAAAGTGGACGGTAGAGTTTTTGCAAGTGACGCAGTGGATCATCAGCAGCAGCTGCCGCAGCAGGAGCTGTGGATTAACGGGGACAATAGTTTCTTGGAGCACGAACACGAGCTGGTGAGTGTGTCTTCACTTTGAGACGTACTTACATCAGTTCGTCTCCCTACACCTGACACTGCAGGTTGACCAAAACACGCACACGTACACGTACATTCCTGTTCACACGTTTCAAGCAGGGATTGATTTTATTGAAAATGTAAAAGCAGCTTTTGTCTAAAGAGTATTTAACTTGAATAAAAACACACAGAGAGCTGATTCGAGTTCGGTCCTCTTTCTGAATCACAGTCCTTGGACCGTGCTACAGGACGCTCTGTAACTTTTCTAGACTGCTTCCTGCTACTCCCTCCGCCTACCGGACACGCGTCTCAGGAAAACACGGGGAGGGGAGCAAGGAGAAGGCCTGAGGTGGAGGTGGAGGTGGAAGCTGCGGGAGGTGGACGTCCGGTGCTTTACAGGCGGGCGGTTTCTCCACACTCACCTCAGCCACGACACCATGACTGGGTTTGATTTCGGAAGGAAGTAGGGATGCGGCAGTGTCGGGAAGACCAAGTAAGGATCCTAATTTGGGACAGCGCCACGTAACGAGTTGGATGTTGGAGGTTATCTGAACTGAATCCTCACCCAGTAATCAGAATAACGAATATAAAAGGTGCATGCTAAGATTTGTTTTAGTACAAATATGTGTAATTTGCCCTTTACAAATGAAAACCTTACAACTAAGCACTAGGTTAGGCTTGAGCAGCAACACAGCCATGAAAAACAGCATCACGTTTTCAATGTTTTCAATTCAGTATGTGTTCCTTACATCATCTTAGTCTGCATTACATTCCTCTGAATTATTGATGTCCCTCTGTGTGTGTTGTCCAGATTTAGGATCACCAACATTCCCTAAGTCAATGGAATTTTGAATTGTTAAGCTTATACCATCACTGCTTAGTTGCAGTTATTTTTTAAAAAAAAAACAACTACAACTTCACGTTTTTTTTGACAAAAATGTTATACAGTAAAGCTCAGTGGTAGTGCTGTATGCAGTATTTTAAAGCAGTCGGTCAAGTAGATACATTTCCATTGACCTAGTGCACCATATATTAAAATCAATGTTGTTTTCACACCCCCCTGAGGAACCCCCCCAAACCAAAAAAAAAAAAAAAAAAAAAAAAAAAAACACCCAGAAATTAAAAAGCTGTGGGAAAAGGAGATTTCTCTACATGAGCATCTTAATGAAGCATTTCATTCACAGTCAGACCTCTGCCAACTTTCACCAAAATTATATATTTATTAGGACTGTTATAATAAAAGTGTAAATTTTATCTTTAACGTACGTAAACACGTGGGTCTCCAGGCTTCTGCTGTCCTGTCTCCAGGTTTCTGAAGCCCACACTTTTGACACACTAGACAGGAGCACAGAGCAGTATGCAGAATGAGAAATGGCAAATGACTATGCTGAGGGCACGCACACACACCGACAGCGCATATCGGGGGGGTGGGCGCAGATTATTTTTTCTCACTTGTGAGCAGTGTAGTCGACCTAGTAATTTGTGGTTATTACAACTACAATCAGAGAACTAGCCAATTTGACATAATCATGTAGTCGGCCAATTGCAGCTGGCACGTGGGGAAAGCTCTGTTTCTGCTGCCTGCCCCGCTAGGGTCTTTGCAACAAAACGTCCGTGCCCTCGGTCACTTAAAAGAGCACTGGAGATGCAAACGAAATCGCAGGCATTTGGTCTTTTTGAAGCCACCACAATCTCGAACTAGAAGAGCCTTCTTCTGGTGTCCATGGGCTCTGTCTTGTGTCTGTCTACCACACCACATGTATGTATGGCATATATAT